GAGCATGATAGTGTAGAATAATCATATCCAAGGACCAGTGGTGGGTTTCAAAGAAGTTTGGAGCCTCTTCTGTAGGTGTGGCCTGCTTTCCGGGCCCACTGGTGGAACCTCTTCTAACCGGTTCGGTAGATTTGACGAAACGGTTCTACCGAATAGGTGCAAACTGGTAGGAACCCACCTCTGAGGGAGGTGAATAGCTCTCTGCCACATCTATTCATCTCCGCACCCTGCCTTTTATCCCCAGAGCGAGGGTACAGCTTCGCTAGTAGCAGTGGCTCTTCCGTCCCAAGGACCGTCCCATACATTTCTACTGTTCTCCTCTCCTCTGCCTTCTGCACATCTGAACCTCAGGCACTGGACCCAGCTGTCCCTTCTCTTCCTCCAGACTTGGGGGCTGTTGACTCTCCATCTGAGGATGGATGGATGGGCCAAGTGCTACCTCTGTCTCTGCCAGCTCTTACCCCTCAAAGCTCTCAGGTTGTCTGGATGCTGACCCTGACTCGCACACCACCTCCTCCTCCTCCGATTTGGCTGCTGCAACAGGTGACTACATGAATGGTTGTTAAGTCAAGGACTACCTGCATTAGAATATATATATATTTTTGGCCATCTTTTTCTTCTGGATGATTTCCCCCCCTCTGATTTCCTATCTAGAGATTTCCTTGTGGTCTCCCCTTCGAAGCCTAACCCGGCCTGACTCACTTCATTTTTCCAAGTTCAGCTTCGCTTGGCTAGATGGCTGGGCCTGCTGTCATTCAGTTTACCCTCCCAGGGTTAATAAAAAAAACAGGATTGTAATGTTATATTGTCAAATTGTTCCATTTTTTTTTGTTTCAGTATCACCGGTTCCTTTGAACTGACGGGCTGGTCCTTTGTTTGTTCTTTCAGGGTCAGGCTTGCTTGGAGGAAATGACGGTGAATCTTCCAAAGATCCATCAAGTCTGCCTGGGGGCCTCTCGAAAGCTAGGTACTGTAAAGAATGGGTCTCCCCTCCCCCCCGCCACAGTGTCTTCTAATTTATTGATAGAACAGCCTGATCCACCTTTCAGGGCTGTTGTTTTACGGGAAGTAGGAATAAAGCTGCGGTAAAAATCAAATAAATAAACCAAAATGGGTGCTCCCTCTGGAGGTTTTTAAGAGATCGGGCACCCGTTGGCCTGGATGGTACAAGGTCTCCTCCTTTAGCGGGGTGGGATCGGGTGCTGGACTAGAACAGCGGTCACTAGCTGGTGGTCTGTGAGAAAATTTTGGTGATGATTTGCATTTTTTATATTGGACCAAATCAGGGGTCCTCAAACTACAGCCCCTGGGATGGGTTCACCAACAAATGCGCGCTTGACAAAAGCGCGCTGACGAAACCACGGTGAGAAAACCGTGAATTCTAAATCGACGACAGCGTGCTGACAAAAGCGCACCTTCAACGAACAAGTAATAACCGCGAGTTCTAAATCTAACCCTAAACTTAACCCTGAACCTAACCCTTAACCTAACCCTTAACCTAACCCTT